AAGCCCGCGCGCAGCAACAGAGACCCAATGCAGCCATAAATAAATAAATGTTCCTTTAAAAAAAATAAAGTATATGGGATGATGTGTGTAGGTTGTACGCAAATATTATAGGACTTGAGCATCCTCAATTTTGGTATCTGAGGTGGGGGCATGGCTAGAACCAATCCCCCTCCACCATACCAAGGGACAACTGTATTCCCATTTTTTCAAAAGGCAGAGATCACATAGAGCAGATATTGTGGCACTTAGTTAAACAGCATATCCAATTTGTTGGACTAGCCCATCACAATTTAGAATAGAAATTTACTGGCAGTATGGCTAATAATTTTAGTTGCAATACGGATTATAAACTTACCGTGATATACTATACATATTTGGAAAGGCAGATGTTAAACTCTTCACAAGATTAAAATAGGACACCTATAAAATAAAAGTATTAAGAAACTTGTAAGAACATTTGTGAAAAACTTGTTTATAACACTAGATAAATTAAAACTCCCATAATTTATAATAAAAGTAACCTTTATCTTTTAGTTGTCCATTTAGACTGCAGACTTTAGAAAAAATAAAAGTTTTCTTTCCTTATTACAAAAGCAATAATCGTCATTACAGAAAATATAAATATGCAAAAAGCAGAAAATAAAAAACATCTATAATCTATCCCTTCCCCCAAAGACTGCTCCATATTCACATCTATCTTTCCAGATCTGAAACTCCCTTCCATTTAGCTAAGAGTGGGCAGAGAATAGTAAGGATTAGTGTAGTTTACACTCTTTTAAAGTCTTAACTTGGTTTAAAACAAAGAATAATCAAGATCCCAAAAGCATCTGCCCAGATAGTGAAAAAGAAAGGATTTCAATGCTAAGGAAGAAATTTACAGTTACACAAACGCTGCCTATTTCAAGCCACTGTTCCTGAATATACTTGGAAATGGTACTTCTTGAAAAGTAATGTCAACAAACAAGCAAGCTCAGCAGCACAGTTTGATAATATTGAGAGATCAAGAACAACAAGAGACGACTTCTAAAGGATTCAGAGGTGGTGCCGACAAATAGTTCCAACAATTATTGTGCACAGGAGTGGGGACCCACAGATACAGCAGCTAACTTGAAGAATTCAGCGACACAGGCATTTCAAAAATTACTAATTTACTAATCTGATGTGTGAAGCGCTCTTACAGAATACTTGAAGAAAATATCTTGACAAAGGATGGATTTAGCAGTAGAAAAAGAAAACGAAGGTAATAAAGCCTTACAATGTGCTTTCACACTATTTGACTCTCACAACTACTTGTTTTTATATAGCCGGGGAACTTGAAATTCAGAAAAGTCTGAAAAACTGGTAATATGGGTATGTTTACAATATATCAAAAGAAAAAAGCACCTACAGCACTGTGTGCATTATGTGATTCCACTAAAAATGTGTACACCCACACAAATAAAATCAGAAAGCAGGGTTTAGAAGCATATAAACCAGGCTATTAAAAATAGTTATTTTGGGCTTCCCTGGTGGCGCAGTGGTGGAGAGTCCGCCTGCCGATGCAGGGGACACGGGTTCGTGCCCTGGTCCGGGAAGATCCCACATGCGCGGAGCGGCTGGGCCCGTGAGCCATGGCCGCTGAGCCTGCGCATCCGGAGCCTGTGCTCCGCAACGGGAGAGGCCACAACCGTGAGAGGCCCGCGTAACACACACACACACACACACACACACACACACACACACACACACAAAAGTTATTTTGGAATAAATAGGATCGTGGGAGTTTTTTGCTTTATTCTTTTAAAATTCATATTTTCTGAATTTTCTTTAGTGAACACACCCTGCTTTAGACATACTAAAATGACAATAAAGGTTGACTTTGCCAGGCAGGCAGTGGCCAAAGAAGGCGGTCCTGAGTTCTATTTTCACCGTAGCATTATATTCATTAAACCAGTAAGGACATTTATGACACCCCAGGCATTAAAATGTCCTAAGGAAAAAAAGTGATAATCCTTTCATTTTACCATTACATGACACTTAACCTACTTTTGTCAGCCTTCATGCGTAAATGATTCACACGAATTTAGGATTTATTATAATGCTTATTCAATCTGAGACCTAACCTCTAACTTGGGGTGAAGAGTTAAAATTACACAGCTTATACAGAGCGCTCTTAACCACTGGGCAGTGCAACAGCGTAGCTTGTTGAAAGCCTGGAAGGTGGATCTTGGCTCAGATCCCAACATTTCCCAGTAGTTACCTTGAGACAGCTTTCTGATAATATCTACTCACAGAGATGCTAAGATTAATTGAGAGATCATATGTAAAGCTCTTAGCTGTGTACATTTAATATGGTATGTACTCAACCAAGCTGTCTTCTGCTTTAAGAGTACCTTTGGGCGGGCTTCCCTGGTGGCGCAGTGGTTGAGAGCTGATACAGGGGACACGGGTTCGTGGCCCGGTCCGGGAAGATCCCACATGCCACGGAACAGCTGGGCTCGTGAGCCGTAGCCGCTGAGCCTGCGCATCCGGAGCCTGTGCTCCGTAACGGGAGAAGCCACAACAGTGAGAGGCCCGTGTACCGCAAAAATAAAACATAAATAAAAAAAAATAAAAGAGTACCTTCAGGCAATGTTTCCCAACGTGGTGAGAGGTGCTCAGGAGAACAGGAAAAGTATTCAAAGGGAGTGGTGTAACTGGAGCCACTTAGTGTGCCAGTGCTAGCACAGGCAACAACCATCTCCCAATTCCAATTTTGTGTCTTTCCATCACATACTCTCCCTGAAAGCCAACCTTGCCTCTCATGAAGTTACTTTTTTTAAAAAAGAGAAAATGCTGAGAAAGAATCAAGACATACTGACAAGTGATTTGGCACAATCATATACACACTGGTTTCCGTCCTATTCCAAGACGTTTGAACACTACCAATGAAGAAGTTCAGAGAACACAAACATCAGGAAAAGGAGCTGTGCTGGGAGAGACGGGCGTGGCTTTATAGTTGTTGCTCTTCGTCCCCAAGGACTATCAGGCCCTAACAGACTTGAACCTGCCACAACACACCCTCCTGAGGCAGACATCAGAAGGCTCATGCATTTACAGTGAAAAATACCACTGACACGAATCAGAAATACACGGTACTGGCATTACCAGCAAGGCTCCTCCTTGTGGTCATTAAGGCAGACATGGAAGACATCCAGCATATTCTCTCCAGGAAAGCACCCTTTCTGTGACTAAGATAATTGTTTAATGGGCATGGAATTAAAAATAAATAAATAAGGATCATCAAAGAAAAGAAGTATCAGTAGCATCAGTGGTGGGTGCATCCATCTCTCCAAATAACATCCTCATCTGCGGTACTGGAAATATTTGAAGGCTGGCTAGAACAGTACTGAAATGGATCCCAGCAGACTCTCTTTTTCCCATATTCTCTCTTTACTGTCTAATCCATAGACTAGCCCAGCTGTCATTCTCTCTCCAAATGTCTATTTTGGATAAGTTGTGATTATGTATGCATATGTATCCCAAAGTAGACATTTAGAAATACTACATATTTCATATTGGGAAATGGTCTTTGATGGACACGGAAGTGCACCAAATCTGACTGCAACGGAAGAGTCCTAAATTCAAATAAACTTTTTAAAAAAATGAGCCTTGAGGATGAGAGGAGAACACATACAATTACTATGCGACCGGAGAAGTCTCTAAAAGGACAGTGAGTCCACAGACCTTGCGTGGTTATGCTTACCAGTACGAGCCTAGCCTGTGGTACGCCAGGAATTAATCACTACAAAGTGCGGCAAAGGACTCACAGGGCCATAGAAACTTGTCAATACACAGGAGCTAAACTGACCGGAAAGGGAAAAAAATGAGATGGAGTCCAAAGGCAGCAGGGGAGAGCGTCAGGGAGTCACGGTTAGTGCTCAGATTCTGACTCTGCTTCAAGAAGTCATAGGTCGATTTAAAAATCAAGGTTTCTCCACTTGCGACATCCTCAGGCCTCTTCTCCTTCCAGCCCGTCCAGGTGTGCCCTCCCTCCGAAACAACTACCGCAGGACTGAACTCCGGTCCACTCTAAGCATCAGCCTTGCGTTCTCCACGAGACTTTTCCGCCTATTCCGAGGCCACCCGGACCCTCCGTATCTCTGAGCGCTCAGAGCACCTTTTGCTCTAAACTCCCAATTAAGTTCTGCTGCCCCCGAAGCCCTGGCTGTAACTCGAGAGGAAACACCTGCAGACGCTCTCCACGCTTTACGCATACCCCAGGAGACCACTGGGCCACACCTGCGTTTCCCCGGGACCTGGCTCCTCACCGCCCCTTCCCCACACCCGAGACGCTCCCCTGTCCCGGGACACAGCTCTGCAGCCCGCGCGGGGCGCCCACCCCTCGGCTCTGTCCAGTCCTCGGTGCCCCGCCAGCCCTGGGTCGCGTCCCAGCGTAGCCCCGCGGCCCCCGCCCGCCGCTCGTGCAGCTCGCCCTCATTCATTCTGCGGCGCCGCTGTCATTAGTGCGGTGACCTCTGCGCCCAGCTACGGCGCGCGCTTCCCGGCCTCACCTGCGCGCGGGCTGCAGCGGCGGCGGCAGCGCGCAGCCCGGACAGTCCCGCGCGGCCGAGGGAGCCGGGCCCGGGACTCCGCGCCGCCGGCCTCCAGGAGCAGCCGCGCCGCCATCGCCACCAGCACGAGGCCATGGCCCGCGTCTGAAAGTCGCGGCAGAGCTACAGCTCCGCCTCTGGCCCGGCGGCCCCTCCTGCCGGGACCCGGAGCCGGAAGTCCGGCAGCGGAAGAGCTTCTGCCTCGCCAGCCCCGCCCCTTCTCGCTTCTCCCGAGGGCGCTTCCCACCCCGGAGGAGGAGGAGCCTGCTGGATTCCCTAGTACCCCTGCCCGCCCGCCCGCCCGCCGCTGGCTCGGGAGAAACCAGCGTGACCTTCCTTCTGGGGAGCGGCCTCCCCCGACCCCGCCCAGCCGGTGCCTCCCGCAGTCTCCGCAAAAATGCACCCGTGTTAGACCGCTGTCATCTAGAAATGCTACAGGGCGCCCGACGAACAATCATGAACTTTCCTTTTGCGTATTTAGGCAGAAGTAGGACGCGAAGCATCGGGTTCCTGTTTCGCTGCCTAATCCGGAGGCTCCAGTTTCCGCGGCTGCTTCTCTTGGGTGTTACCTGCCACGCCGTCGTCTGCTCCTTATGGCGACCTGGCCTTGCAGGAAGTGCCAGCCTTTTGCATCTTTACAGTAACAAGTCAAACCCCGAGCAGGGCTATTGTATAAGAGAAGTTAGATTAGCCTCGTCTCTCGACTTCTGGACGCTCTCCTCTGAAAACCTTATAGGTATATTGTGGCCTAGTTTGGCAGTCTTGCTCACATCTGGATATGTGAGTCCCGCCCGTGGGTGTACTGAGCTGTGCGAAGTTGTTTAATATTTGGTAATGTTGAACCTACTTGTAACCAGCCCAGGGAATACTGGAGAATGGACAGGATTAATGCCCGATAAGGGTTAGAAAGACCTTTCCTTAATTCTGTGGCCAGATCTACTCTTCTCATGGTAATGAGAGGGTGTCTTTATAAGAGAAGTCGTGATATAATGAATCATTGAGTACATGCGTACAAACGCACAAAGCCTATCAGAGAAAGTGTAAGCATTGGGGATACAGAAATAGAAGAAACTTAACTCTGTCCTCAAAAAATTCACTCTTATGAGAAAATAGACCAGCAAACAGGCAACTGTGATTCTCTGATATTTTTTCTTGTTCTTCTGACTCATGCATTTTGCATCAAAGAATTCAAGTACCCGTATAGCTGAGCACATTTTTACATTTATCTTCAAAATTTTTTAACTGAATAAAAGCATATAAAGAAGTTTTTAAAAATGTCAGTTTTATTGAGGTTTTTTCCCCCTAATTTTGAAGAATATTATATAAAAGATGTCAGGTGCTTTACAAATTAAGGTTGTTAATATGCACCTGTGGCTTATCTTGATCTAGGTTTATGTATTAAGAAATGTCCACAGGTGGAGTTGGCCAAAATAGAGTGTTTTGGTAAACACTTGTACTTGCAACAATACTGTGACTTAGAATATTTTCATTTGCCGTTTTTTTATAGGTAGAGAAACAGATATATAGGAATTAACTGTCTTGCCCAAGCTCACATAGTTGGTAGATAGAGCACTACACAATTCTGTTATGCCATTTTCATTTAGAAATTGTTTACCCAGATTAAAACAATAACCTGGCTCTTAAAAAGATGTAATTTGGCAAAGCTAAGTAGGGGGGAAGGCAGATGAAATTTGTGAAGGCCTCCGCCATTATAGTATAGCTAAACTTCTCATGAACAATAACCCACCAACAGGACATGCAGAATACAAAGTAGTTCCTTTGACCCAACTAGGCCAAGCATGAGTCTAGAAAGTTAAAACATTGTCTAAGCTGTGCAAGTAATTGCCAAAGAACAGACTCCTCTCGTGCACAGTCTAGAAATGGCTTGGGCCTTTTTGACTGCACTTATACAAATGAAACAACTAGTAACAGTGATAAAAATGGAATAAGTGTACAGTTGAAACATTTTCAAAGTTATTTTGATGTTGGAGAATTGGCTACACTCGAAGACATTTTATTTCCATAATGATGATACTGTTCAAAACATTAGGTAGGACCAGGTTTTACAGCCAAGGAGAGATTATATACAAAATATAACCATATATTGTTTCATAGTACTGCATAGAAACATCTCATCCTGATGTTATTAGATAACTGATAAATGAATTATCAGTGTAACTCTGGTAAGAACATTGATTGAGAAGAGTTGCACTGAAAGGTGAGCAATTTTTGTGCATTTCATATTCTTAGACCAAACTGAATTCTGAAGACTTGAAATAATACCCTTATTTCAACTACCGATTTCTCTGAAATGTTAAGATAACGGGTTAACATGCATTTGGAATTTTCTCTGGGGTCTTAGTCTATGACTGATTAGTTCGCTAAATGTAACAAGGGTGAGGACCGGGTACCTCTGAAGCAATTAGTCTTTTTTGTTCCATGGCCAGTGATCACAGGTGTTAGCTGATCAGCTACCTTGCCAAAATGTGAGTCAATCCGTACAAAAAAATAAGTATTAGTGAAACATTATATACTGCCCATGCTCTACTAAAATCTTAGAGCATCATAAAAGATTATGCATTAATTATATAATTTAGTCTATTTCCACACAGAGGCTCTCCTAAAAGAGAAGAAAATACACTATTGGATCATCCACTCCTAATCATACTCAGGTTTTCCTGATGGATACTAAAATCTGTTTTTTGGTTGACTACCCATTTGTTCCCCCATGATGCTGCCTTATTCACCATGCACTTAGGGGAAAGTGTAAAGAGCTAAATCTGACCCACATTTGCCGGTTTTTTACTCATATGGAGAAGATATAAGAATCCTCTTGTTTCTATTATAACTGACATTTAGTTCACCTAGGCTTGTGTGGAATAAAAAGGAGTTATTCCAAACAATTGAACAAATTGACCTGATGCCACCTTTCTCCACTGATTCAAAATATTGTTTTCATTATATAGGGAATTCTTACATTACTTAGGACTGTTTCTGTGCTTTTTATGGAGTCCCACTGATTTTTGCATCTATTTTGGGGATAGCAATATTTTTAGTTATTTTTACAATTTTTAAAATGATAAGGAAGCTCCCATTTCTGTTATTAAAAAAAAGTGTTTTCTCAGATTTACACTTTCTTTCTTCAAAAAAAAAAATCCTACTGCGATTTTTGACTGGATTTCCATTATGTTTAGTAAATAATTTGATTGGGTTTCCATTATGTTTAGTAAATAATTTGGTGACAGTGACATCCTGATAATATCTCTATCCAGAAACATAGGTTTTTGTGTCCCTTGTTTTAGTAATACACCTATCCTCTTCTATTTTTTGTTTTAATTTGTTTGGATTAGGAAAACATTAAGATTTTAAGAATTGTACTTAAACATTTTCTGAGTATCTAAAGCATGCCCAAAGCTTCTTTTTTTCTCTACAGCTTTTTAAGTAAAGTACATGGGCTTTAGTGCATGGACTTCATGAAACATAGTTTATCTCTTTAGAGGCAATTTTTAGAATTCTAGCCCTGTGAACAGGCATGTATCAAATGTTTTGAAGTTTCTGATGGGATTGGAAGCAGTTTTGTACATTTAGTAAAACATCTGTTGCCTGGTTTACAGTTATTTATGTATGTATCTGTTTCCTTCAATTAATTATGATTTTTCTGAAGGGCAGAAAGAATGTGATTAAGTGTCAAATATTTTTTTGGTTGGATCTACTGGATTGGCCAGTACTGTAATTCTGATAGCTCACCTCATTTTATTCATATATTCTTATTTATAAATAAATTGCACATCCCATTGGTCTCCCATAAGTGAAAATCTTTGAAGACAGGGTATGTGTCTTGTTTTAAACTTTTTACATCTCACATCTTCTTGGACAGTTTAGTATACTGTAATATATGAATATTGAATAGATATGGTTGAAAATAAGTCTTTAAATAACAAAGTATGAACAAAATAGTAGTTTAAGTTGATTTTCTTAAAGAACTGTAGGCTTTCTAAGGACTATTAATGCTGTATGTGCAACAAATGAGAACATTAAGAAGGGTTGTCTTTTTTTTTTTTTAATCAGCTGTGTTGCCAATTGATCCTGTTAAAGAAAATTATGTGCGTAAAGTGAAAAACTGTGTTTTTTCAATTGCCTACCCCACTCCTTTCAAATCAAGAGTACATCTTGTAGCAGTTTCAAAGGTTAGGCTTTACTTTTTCACAACACTTAACTCACTATAACTTTTGTCTAAAAAATTAGTAATATTTTTTTCAGAGTTAAATTGTTAATCTATTGATAAATGATTATCTTTGTGTTTAAAATTTATAACTTGGAGAATGTCATTCTTAGAAGTCACTTTTTGATACTTATTCCTGGAGACTAGTACTCAGTTTCATTTTAAAGTTATCTTACAAGGAAAACACACTTTTCTGGAAAAAAGGGGTAAATTAGTTAAATTCTTAGAAAGGGGCTCCAATAACAAATTCTAAATTATTCTCTCATGATATAGATGAATTTGGGATAATAATAGGACATTTACTTTTTTCTAGTTCCTTTAAAGAATATGTACTAGGAAGAATATTATTTTACCATGCATAATAAGAAAGCCATAACAATTTTAGAACTATCTAATAGACCTAATTTTCCCAAGTAGCATAAATAATCCTAGAAAGTATGGTACATCTCTTCTGAGAAAATATTAATGTAATTTTGGAAGAAGTTTATTCTTTTAATTTTCTTTTTACCATAAAGTTTATTTTCTCAAAAACTGTTAAAGGATTACTTAAGTTTGTAAGAAGATTTTTCTTTTCCTGCCTCAGCAAGTGCTAGAAGATATTTTGGACCTTGATTTATCTGTCTCAGAAACAGATGATTTTATCCAGCTTGTAAGTGGCGAAAAGATAGTACTTGGATCCATTCCACTGGCTCACAGATATGGGGGCCACCAGGTAAGAGTAGCACCAATATCACCTCCTTATGCAAATATAAACAGCTGGTAGAAATGCTATCCTACTGAAGAAGTTATTTTGCATTAATTTCTAATATTAGGTGTATTGAGACTTCAAGAAGATGTTTCTAAAAGAATAAGTCATATATAGATTAGCTGATGTGATTTCTTGTGATAAAGCTAGGGTGTAAGTTTCTCTAATGGAATTGAGAAAACTGGGGCAGCACAATATAACATTTCTGTGATTATCGCTAGAGAATTCATTCAGTGGAGTTTTGGCAAGAGATTTAGGCAAAGTCAGGCCACACAATGAGTCAATATAAAAGCCTCAGAAGGGCAAATAGAATATAATTTTGCCAGGATAGCTGTAGAACATTTTTAGAACTGCTAGAAGTTAAGTCAGGATTAATTGGGGATGTTATACATGCTGAAGCAATTAAGAAGGCACCTTCTAGAAATACAGCAAGACGTTGAAGCAAGTTCAATGTGTGGAATCTGATTTTAAAAAAAGGAGAGGAAACACAGAACCAATTGTTGAAATTGCTGTGACTTTCTTGTGAGTTAAAGATTAACTGATTAATTTAAGAGAACAGAGTGATGTTTAACTTAGCAGGTAATTGTTGGTAATAATTACCATCTTTTGAGCACTTGGGTGTGTTGGACACAGTGCAAGGCATTTTGCGTATATTAACATTCATTCTTACAACAATCTGGCAAGGGTTTTCCCATTTTACAGAAGTGAAAGGTCAGTCTCAGTGAGATTAAGTTACTCAAACAAATTTCCACAGCTAGTAAGTGGCACAGCTGGGAGCTGAACAACCACAAACAAATTTTAACAGAAAAGTTTGGAAACAGTTAATCATGTACATTCAAAAGCAATTTTTTCAGGTACAGTATGCTTCTGATTTTATATTGTATGCGTATAGTATAGGCAAATTTTCTACTAATAAATCATTCCTAGTTCCTATTCTGGAAGAAAATAGATCAGTTCTCAGTATTCTACACCTAACAAGCTTGAGCTCAGCTATAAGATGATGAAGAAATTAATTATATTTCTTAAATTTATGTTCTTTAAATGAATTTCAGTTACGTCTTATGGATTGAATTTTATTTTCACCATTATTCAGGGTGTTGATTGTTATAATCTTAAAAATGCACTATTCCATTTTCAATTTTGACAAAGTAACTTTGATTATAAATTACAATAAAAGCTTTAAAGGTTAATAAACATGAATAATTTTCCCTTTTAGTTTGGGATATGGGCAGATCAGCTCGGGGATGGAAGAGCCCATCTTATTGGAATTTACATGAACAGGTACTACATGTTTTCTTGAATAATAGCTTTTCTGCTAAATATTAACACAAATCTGCTAATATTTAGGTTTGTTTTTTTCTTTTAAGGCAGGGTGAAAAGTGGGAGCTCCAATTAAAAGGCTCAGGAAAAACCCCATACTCCCGGTACTTCTGTTTTTTTTTTTTAGTCATCTAAGTAAAAATTGATGTTATCTTAATTATAACTGAAAATCTTTTTTATCATATTACCCATAGAAGTGGCGACGGCAGAGCTGTGCTTCGTTCCTCCATGAGAGAATTTTTGTGTAGTGAGGCTATGTACTATCTCAGAATTCCCACTAGCAGAGCTGCAAGGTAATTCCTCTTCCCTTGAAGCTAACTTTCAGGACCGCATCATGTTATCTCCAGAAATGTGTCAGTCAAGTGAGCAGATAAACCCCCAATAGCATGATTTCTCATCGTTTCTTACAGTTTTAGTTACTTCTTGATGGCTTGCTAGCAGTTAAGTACAATATAACTTTGTTTGATTCTCTTACCTTTCAGTCTGGTTGTAAGTGATGATGCAGTATGGAGAGATCAGTTCTACAATGGAAACGTTGTGAAAGAACGAGGTAATAACAGTTCTTAGAACACTTACATAAAATTAGACTAAGTTCTTCAGGAACAACAGAAATTGGGCATCTTTGCAGTCTTCTTAAAACATGACCTTCATGATGTAATTTCAGTGTTATGATGTTATAATAGAATATCCTTTCCCACACCCTTACATCACTAATCCATCCTTTTCTAACAACAAACTTCTGGGAAGTTAACCTGGGAAGTTTATGAACAGCCAGCAAAACATTATAAAGCCAGTGCATGAACATTCATATACTTCCTTCCCAGGAGACCCCCTCACCTCAGATCCTGATTGCTCTTACTTCCTGTTTACTTCCAATAAGTTCGGTTAACTTTTCCTTCAGCTTTTAGTAGGTCAGAAATAAATTAGAAAGGGGATGAGAAAGTGCCATAGAGCAGTGAAAAAGGAAGAGTGAGAGAAACTTGACTCTGAATCTCTGGAGAGGCAGGAGACCTGAAAATCAATAATAAACATATTTAACTATTTAAAATGCAGAGCTATTGAGAACCGCTGACAGCCCTACCTGCTTTATTGGGTCCCTTGGACATCACTGTGTTACGGGCCAGCGTTTTTACTGATGTTTATAGTGATTCACCAAGAGAACATTTTATGTTCTTCATACTTTGGGAAAAATATGTTTTGATAAGGTTTTCATAATAATCCCCCTAGAGTGTTCATGTTTAAAGGAATTAAAGTTATTTATCTTTAAGGCATCTCTCTCTCTCCTCTATAATATTATCTGGATAAAATGCATACTATTACTGCATATGGGGCTTTAACAGCTATTTAGGTCTTTTTGTTTATGGTGATTGGAAATGAGATTCCGATCACAGACTGTTAATATGATGGGCACAATACTACTTTTATGTCTATGACGTATATATTGTTAATCTGAATTTTTTTTGGCCGTGCCTCACAGCCTGTGGGTTCAATCCCGACCAGGACCTGGTCGGGATTGAACCCAGGCCCTCAGCAGTGAAAGGGCAGAGTCCTAACCACTGGACCACCAGGGAATTCCCTGTTAATCTGAATTTTGAATTAGATGGTTCGGAAACCAAACTTAATGGTTTCAAATTATCTCAAGTATTTCTCCTTTTTAGGCCGTTCATAGAATTTCCACATCTAAGTCATATTCAGATATTTTGATTGTGCTTTTCCCTAATATTTGCCCAGCAGACACTGTAGGAAAAGAGCTGGACAGACAAAAAGAATATGTGAAACCTCTAACCGGCTCTGTGGGAATTGATTTGTGACTTTGGGCAAGTCACATTTTTCCCCTGTTTCTCCAACTAAAATGAGGGCTTAGCTGAGATGACACCTTCTATGTCTTTCAGGACTGACATTCAGTGATTCAATGGCTATTCATAAAGTAAACATTCAGAATCATCTATTGAGCTCTTATTTTTTTTTCTAAGTGAATGTATTTTTCTTGCTAAAAAAAAAAAACCACATGAAAATAAATATTCAGATTACTAGCGTGAATGAATCCTGACTATATGGGTAACTTAGTCGACCCAGAAAATACTAATTAGCCCTTTTCTGTGCATACCACTGGACTCATCTCTGGGGGTCCAGGAGTAATAAGTACATACCGTGGTCCCTGGTCTTAAGAAACTCAGTCTTCATAGACACTATAGCAATAGTGTCTATAGCAGTAGACACTATAGACTCCATAGCAATTGAATAATAAATAATCTGAGGTTAGGAAAAGGGCAATCCGGTTAGCTTTATGGAGGAAGTGGGAATTGATCTTGAGCACAAGATTAGAAAGTTAGCAAGGATTTCAGTATGGGGAGAAGAGGGGTTGGGGCAGGGAGAAGTGCACAAAGGCCCAGAGGTAGCAGCGAGTATGGTGTTTCATTGAACGACAGCCCCAGTAGAGCAGCAGCTTTGTCATCTGGGATAGACCTCACCTTGACATGGAAACACATGTCAGTACAGCATACCTTATAAGAAAAAAGCATGAATTCATTTACTAATTGTATTACTAATTGTCTACGATCAGAACGGAAGACGGAAATAGAAGGCTACAAACACAATCACAAAATGCACAGATTCACTGTATTTCTTCAGCATATTCATGTTAGAACATATGCAAATTTTTGAAATTGAAGTTAATTTCCAATTAGTTACACAAATAGAAGTCATGTACAGGGATTGTGCCATAGAAATATTCCACTAATTCTATATTTCAGGGTGAGGTCCAGGGAAAAGGTCACAACTGAGGAGACAGTGGGAGCCTAACCGTTTAACCAAGTAGCATCTCACTAGGTTGGGGCCTCAGTATTTCTGAAGGTGTTGTGGTTCCTCACATTCTAACTGATTCAGGCATAAAGAAAGACAGAAAAATCCTTGACCCTTTCTAGGATGTAAATTAATTGTTTTTCTGATAAATCCAATCACTGTATCCTTTTTTATTAAAGTAATTTCATTTTAAAGAAAAGCGTATTATGCTGTTTGCATAGTTTAAAATAGTTTATGCTAAAATAAATGTTTCTTTTTCAGGTGCAGTAGTGCTGCGTGTTGCAAAATCATGGTTTAGAATTGGATCGTTAGAAATTTTGGCTCATTATGGTGAACTGGATTTACTAAGGTTAGAAAACCATTTTTTTCAATGGTAGAAGACAATTGAAAGAAATGCTTATTATGTGCTGTGAAGTTAAAATATTTTTGGTTTTCTTGTAAGTAAAACCCAAACTTTGAATTAATAGATATTTTCAACACTTGCTGTGTGCCTAATATCGTGTGGGTTCTGAGGCTGAAAAAGAAGGGTTTAGACCCAGTAGACCCTTTTCTCAAGGAATGCTTTTATCTAGTGTGCAACCCAGATGGAACTGAGGGCCGCTGTGCTACCCAGACACCTGGGTGGAAGTGACTCAAACTCCCCAATTCTGCAGTTCCCTTCCAAGTTCTGGGATTCCCAGGATGCGTCCTCTGTCTCATATGTCTTCTTTCCTGGACTCTGGTTTTGACATGTGTGTGATGCCTGTTTCATCCTGGGTTGACCCAGACATGAAGCTCAGTCCCTTCAACAGGACAATAGCGAACAAAGAACAGACTGAAATTGTACAAAGCACTTAAGAACAAATCTTACTGGAGATTTCTTCAGGGAAGACAGATGAATGGTTCCTTCAAAAGAGCAAAAGCTCTTCCCCTTGTGTTATGCAGTATAGCTTCCACCAAACTCTGATGCCTTGGTGCCTGTGGAATCTGCACTCACAAAGTTTGTCTTCCTCAAGCCAACTTAGCAGGATGTTTCTTCAAACAAAAACATTTACTCCCGACTTCCCTGGTGGCGCAGTGATTAAGAATCCCCCAGCCAATGCAGGGGACACAGGTTTGAGCCCTGGTCCGGGAAGATGCCACATGCCACAGAGCAGCTAAGCCCGTGCGCCACAACTACTGAGCCTGTGCTCTAGAGCCTGCGAGTCACAACTACTGAGCCTGCGTACCACAACTACTGAGGCCCACATGCCTAGAGCCTGTGCTCTGCAACAAGAGAAGCCACCGCAGTGAGAAGCCTGCACACCACAACAAAGAGCAGCCCCCGCTCACTGCAACTAGAGAAAACCGGCACTCAGCAAAAAAGTCCCAATGCAGCCAAAAATAAATAAATATTTTTAAAAATTTACTCCTTTAAGAGGAATTCTGTTTCCATTTGTTAAGAGCATACAGTTCTAAAAAGCCATTAGAATATATAAGAAAAAATTCTCTTAGACAAACCAGAATCATTTGGAATATGAATCCTACACTGTAGGTATCAGCTTAGTAAATCCAGATACCTGGTCCACGGAGAGAATGGGGAAAGGGAAGTGAACGCTCAGAGCAGAGAAGTCATCACCATTGTCATGACCGTTCTCTGAGTCTTTTTAGCAAATGTTTACCGAACTCAGGGTCATCCCAGCTTGTTGAGAGAGAGGTCTCCTCTCACTGGGCATTTTCACTTCTCATTTGGTTTTTTGGGTCACTTCTGCTCAGATTCACTATGTCACTGAAATTGTTCTATCTGGTGGTCATAGTTCAGTTATATTTCACTTATCTCTATGACATTTGATGTATATCGGTGAGCACTTTATCCTTAAAATGACTGGACTGGCTAACATGACTATGTATGTATTCCTTTTTGTTTCCCAAGTGCCTGAAACAATTCTCTAATCCACTGTAAACAAACTCACTCCTACTGGACTTTAATAATTCCCAAGTCATATCTACAACCCCCAGTTATTTTCAGGATTCTCTCTTATCCAATGCAATAAATGCTAGTATCAATAGTTACTCAACTCATTAGTCAGTTAAAACAGGGAATTAAACATAGGATACATATACAACTTAAATATTTTAACTTCAAACCTTGGCCAATTTATTTGACATCTTATTTGTGAAATCTTACATGATCCTCCACACATAAATAATCATCCTCTGCTCTGTTATCTTTATTCTTTTTATATATTTCTATTATTGCATGTATTATACGGTAACGTCATTATTTCTTCAGATGTTCTTGTCCCCTAATAGACTGTGTGCTCTTTAATGTCTGCGTTTGGGTGTGTCATTCTTTTTCCTATCACTTGGAGGTTCTCAATGGATGTTTACTGAATTAATCTGAATTTGTAACATAATAAGATGGCATCTAATATGATCTTAGAAACATATTTCCAGTTGTGATTGGTATTGAGAAAATATTTCTCTATGGCTATTTTGGGAGTAAAATCTTATTTTACTTTTTTTTTTTTTTTT